GCGGTTCCCCGCGCCTCTGAGGCTTTGCTCTGGCAAAGCCTCAGAAGCGCGGGAACCCGCCCGGTGTCCCTGGTCTGCTGGAGACGGTCTCCAGCAGACCAGGGGCACCGGAGCAGCTTACGAACGGGGCTTTCTCGCCCTGACTTCCGGGGCGAGAAAGCCCCGTTCGTAAGTGCGGATCCGACATAAGTCGGATCCGCATAAGTCGTGGACTGCCTGTATTGACTTTCTGATGGGCGGGTATGGAATGCTTCTTATCTTGCACCTGCCTGTGCACCAAGAGGAGATGATGCCAACACCCAGCCCATGTTGTATGACTTCACAGTAGCACCAACACAACAAGACATTGCACTGGAACCAGGGTTTGAGAGACGGTCTGTCAGACCTAGATGACCACCAGTCTGGACTAGAGATTGTTATGTAGTATGTACAGTGTTTTCAGTGTAATATTTCTGCCAACAGTATAGTGTCTTGTTCCATATTTGTTGCTGTGGTTAGAACAAAAATGTTTATTTTATAATTGGGAGAGCTTCTTAAGAGAGGAGGGAATGTGGTGTTTTAGAAGTTGCTTGTAATTTATTAGAACTGGGAGCACTGGCTGTTGGGAATCTGGAAGCACAGGAAGGGGGGGGGGGGAGGAGATAGGCCAGGCCTGAGTGAGAGCTACAGAGGGGAGCAGCAGCAGCTTTGTAAAGAGGTTTCACCTTTGTTAAATAAAGATCTGTTGAAGTTTGTTACTACCTTGCTTGCATGATACAATAATTACAAATAGGTAATGTAGGTATAAAGCACCACCACATTGTGGGAACGTTATTGAACTAGTGATTTTGCTCCAAAAATATTGAGGAAGCATTCCCCAGGCTCCTCTCTCTTCCTCTGCCTCCCAGTCTCCCTCCCACTCCCCCAACTGAAACTGTTTCCTCAAGGAGTTTCAGTAAGAGTACCTGTCCTACCGTCCTACCACTCAGGGCCCAAGCAACTAGATCTTCAGAAACATCTTTTATGTCTTACCATTTAGCTCTCCTATATTCATCTGATTTCCTAGAGGTCAGCACTGATTCATTGTATGGAATCTTATAGAGTGAACAAGGCAAATTATAGGACTATGTAGCACTTTAAAGACTAACAAGATGGTTTATTAAAGTGCTACATAGTCCTGCATTTTGCTTCAGCTAAACCAGACTAACACGGCTACATTTCTATTACTAAGGCAAATTATGGCCTCTGAGTTGAAGGGGCTCCACCATGGTCTGTTATCTGTTTACAGGCCTGCAGCACTAACTCACGTGGAGCCAGTTTGTAGAGGGAAACCAGCTACTACTGTGGTGTTGATCTTACATCAGCACCAGGCAAGAGAGAACAGGAGACTCTCCCTCCTTTTTTAGGGAGAAATTCCAGTGCCTCTTAACTTTCCCTTACTCCCTACTGCAAAGTAGCTGAAAACTGCTTCATTTGGTTGTTGCTAATTCAGTACAAATGACCATGCTGCGATCATATAGTGCTGAACAATTGAATTGATAAGTAATGGGGTTTTCTGAAAAATGCCAGAAAAATCCATTCTGAAATTCTGTCTGTGGGTTTTCATTAAGGCCATGTCTACACTGCAGAGAAGATAGACTCATAGACTTTAAGGTCAGAAGGGACCATTATGATCATCTAGTCTGACCCCCTGCACAATGCAGGCCACAGAATCTCACCCACCCCCTTCTAGAATAAAAGCAGCTGCTGTCGATCTTCCAGAGTTTGAATTGGCGGGTCTAATGAAGACACATTAGTTCGAACTGAGAGGGTGCCGGTAGTCCTGCTTTTACAAGGAGCAAGGGAAGTCGAAGAGAGTGTGTGCTCCCTTTGACTTCCCACAGTGTGGATGGCACCAAAATTTGAGTTAAGATACTTTGATTTAAGCTACGCAATGAATGTAGTTGAAGTTGCGTATCTTAATTCAAACTTATCCCCTAGTGTAGACCTGGCCTAAGGATTGAGCGCATGTTTTGTGTTACGAATATGTACACTTTTGGCATATGCTTGCACTTCGTAAGAAAAGATTCAGGCCACTGCTACTTTGCTGTCAAGTAGCTTAGTTAATGAAGAAGCATAAACATTTGTTTTATGCCTGGCCTTCACTTATGTCTCCAGGCTGTTACTTACCTTATGTTTTTTCTCACCCTTTTAGTTACTATGTGGGCAACCTGTTGTAACTGGTTTTGTCTGGATGGACAACCTGAGGAGATGCAGCAGAGGCCGCAGCAGGGTGCCAGACCCCAGGCATATTCCAACCCTGGTTACAGCTCCTACCCTTCTCCTACAGCTTCTGAACAGAACTGCAAGGCGTGCGGGGTGCACTTTGAAAATTCCTCCAGGAAGGTAAGTGGTGAACTGAGCCACTGATTTGTGCACCCACTTGGTTTGACTGACACAAATGATCTGGGAATCAAATTATATATTTAGCGTGTCAGTTTCATGAGTCTGTAAAACACACAACCAAACAAGGAATCCTTTGATTTCAGGACATAATATACAGCAGAAAACGACTTGCTTTCCTTTATTTCTTCATCACAGTTAGTGTTCCCTCTAAGCTGAGCACTTGGGTGGCCGCCCAGGAGAGATTCCAATGTTGCCCAGCTGATTAGCAGAGTTCCCACAGCTGGGAGCAGCTGGCAGCATGTTTTTCTATTGGTGGTGCACATCTGCACATGCCTTAGTGCACATAACAAAATTTATTCTGCACATGAATGGAAAAAATTAGAGGAAACACTGGTCACAGCTGGCATGAATGAAAGTAACCCGTTGTTTAATGGCTTAGCACACTTTACTCTTGGCTGTACGCAATGCTTTAATAAAGGACAGCTTACCATTAGTTAAAGGCTACTGTTATTGCAGTTACCACCTAGAATTACTGAGTTCATTTCTAGATTATTTGTGAATTTGACAGCACTTTGTGTTATATCATCTGTTTTCCCTGGTTTTCTTGTGGATCTTTTTCACAGTAATACATGAGAAGAAAACATTTTAAAAACAGGAAAATGTCACTACAAAGCCACAGCAGTCAGGCAGGTGTAATACCTAAAATCAGCATAACTCATTATTTTGGAATTGATTAGGTTTGAAGGCATGTTCCTTTAAGAAGCAGGTAGGGTAGTAAGCAAAATCCATCATGCTTACAATGGAAGAAGAGCCAACTCTTTAAAATATTAGTCTTCATGTAAAAAGCTGTAACTGTAGGGAGTGAATTGTCAGTTTAGCATTCGTTCCTGAATTTGTTGCTAAAAGAAGCACAATCTTCCAATTTTTTGTGTTTTACTTGTTGTTCTGTTTTGTGTACTGGATCCTTATGCATTGTAGCTGCCAAAACTATTAGTGTCACGAGATTAAAAACTAATCAGCTGTATTTGGCTAGGGAAATGATTTAAGTAGGGAGTTTCCCACACTGCTTCATGAAAGCATTTAGGAACTGATTAGAATCCACATTCCATGACTCAGCCGGTATCTGATCTGTACCATATTCTCAGAATCAGGGTGATGAATAAAGAATGGAGGCATTTGACCTGGATAAATTAAAGTTTTAAATAGCTCTATTTTAAGGTGCAGCTTCATGACACGTAATAAGAAAAGCCAAAAAGGAGTTTGAAGAACAGCTAGCCAAAAACTCAACAGGTAATAACAAAATGTTTTTAAGTACATCAGAAGCAGGAAGCCTGCTAAACAACTAGTGGGGCCCCTGGACGATTGAGATACAAAAGGAGCACTTAAAGATAATAAAGTCATTGCGGAGAAACTAAATGAATTCTTTGCTTCAGTCTTCAGGCTGAGGATGTTAGGGAGATTCCCAAACCTGACCTGCCCTTTTGTAGGTGACAAATCTGAGGACTTGTCACAGATTGAAGTGTAATTAGAGGAGGTTTTGGAATTAATTGATAAACTTAACAGTAACAAGTCACGGAGATCAGATGGCATTCACCCAAAAGTTCTGAAAGAACTCAAATGGGAAATTGCTGAACTATTAACTATGGTTTGTAACCTATCCTTTAAATCAGCTTCTGTACCCAATGACTGGAAGATAGCTAATGTAACACCAATATTTAAAAATAGCCGGTGATCCCGGCAATTACAGACCGGTAAGTCTAACGTCAGTACCGGGTAAATTAGTTGAAACAATAGTAAAGAATAAAATTGTCAGACACATAGAAGAACATAATTTGTTGGGCAAAAGTCAACATGGTTTCTATAAAGGGAAATCCTGTCTTACTAATCTGTTAGAGTTCTTTGAAGGGGTCAGCAAACATGTGGACAAGGAGATCCAATAGATATAGTATAGTTACACTTCCAGAAAGCCTTTGAGAAAGTTCCTCACCAAAGGCTTTTACATAAATTAAGTTGTCATGGGATAAGAAGGAAGATCCTTTCATGGCCTGAGAACTAGTTAAAAGACAGGAAACAAAAGGGTAGGAATAAATGGTAAATTTTCAGAATGGAGAGGGGTAACTAAGGGTATGTCTGCACTACAGCGCTAATTTGAACTAACTTAGTTCGAATTAGTTAATTCAAACTAAGCTAATTCGAACTAACGCATCCAGACTAAAAAACTAGTTCGAATTAGCGTTTTGCTAATTTGAACTAGCATGTCCACACAGAGTGGACACTGAACCGGGGTTAAGGATGGCTGGAAGCAGTGCCGGCAGGGCATCAGAGTAGGACTTAGAGCGTGGAGCTGCTGTCTCAGGCTAGCCGAGGGCAGTGCTTAAAGGGACCCGACCCCCACCCCGGACAGACAGTTCTCAGGGGTGCCCCGCTTGCAAAGCAGTCCTGGCTTGGATTGCCCGCAGTACCCACACTGGGCACATCACAGCACTCGGCCATCAGACCGGCTGCACTTGCCGCAGGCTGCCATCTGGGGAGAGGAGGCAATTGGGGGGCTGCAGGAGAGGTTCC